TACTGGCGCTGGGCGGCCCGAGCACACAAGCAAGCTCGAATGCAATGGATGCAATGTGGGGGGATGGGCAGCGGCAGCAGTGGTGAGTGCAGTCTCAGGGCCGCTTCAGAGATAAAGGAGTTGCAGGGCAGACGCAAAAGTCCCACTAGCTGTGGTGTGTGCAGCTGGTTTAGTCAAGGGACCCTGCCTGTTCCGGGATGGTGGTGGCAGTGGCGGCGGCAGCAGATGGCAGCAGCGGGCACACGTGAGCACCAGCACCGCTGGAGCAGAGGTGTGAGAAGTAGACCCCGGGAGGCAGGGAAGTAGGGAAACTGTGAGAGATGATGAATAGCTGGGGTGGGGGCAGGGAGCAGCAGGGCACTGATGCCGCCTGGGTGAAACCTAATTCCCCAGGTCCCGTGAAAATCCCGATCCCACTTCTGACACCAGATAAAGCATGGTAAATAAGAATGTGGGAAATAATAGGCTGATGGGTGTGTATTCGGGGAGAAATCACTTACACCAGAAACAGATGATGTTCCAAGGATGCCTCCAGATGCGCTGTCTCCGACCAGGAAGTAAGAAAGCAAGCTGGGGTTCCGGAGCCCAGACCTAGTTCCCCTAGATAAAGCCCCAACCTGTCCCCACGGCCCAATGGGCGTGATCAGTGCAACAGGTGCGGGGGGGGGGGGCGTATCTCACTGCAGTTAACTTTATTAACAGTCTCGGAGTATCACAGTGCGATCACATATCCTGCAACATCTTTAGATGTAAAAATGCATAGGATAGGTTTGCAATTTACAGGAAGAGTTAGCAATCCCAGCAATCTCCTTATACTTGGTTCGTATTTCGTGGGCCTGATCTGGGAAGATGAACAGGGAGAGTGAGGTCTAAAGGGGGTGGGCTTCTGCCTTTTTCACTGGCGCGGCTTTTCAGGGAGGCTCTGGGGTTAGCAAGGGCAGTATCAGAGCCTTGTCTGTATGTGCTAGTCAGAGGCTGACTGCAACTGAGTCACCTGGGTGAAGGGTAGACATGACCAGGGACCAGGATCCCTGTCCCCACCAGTGCTGACTCTGCTCACCCCCAGCTGAAGACTGGCTCCCATGTTTCACCTGTCTCTCTCATGCATTAGAGCTGAGCAGAGCAGAGTTGTAACACTTTTCACCAGGGAAACCTTCTTGTGACCTGTGGTGTTTCTTGGCTCCTGAGTGCCAGAATACCTTTCTATCCCATCCCCCGAAATGCTTATACTGAGTGTTGTCTAAACTACGTGGAAAGTGGACATCATGAACCCTCCTGTGTAGTCTACACAGGTCTTCCAGGAAACAGGCAGAAACTCAAGTTCTCAAGTCCAGAACTTCCATCCATGGAAGAGGCTTTCCTCTTCACCTTCCTCCCCTTCCCCTCATACTTAACCGTCACTAATCCTCCAAGCGGATCTTGGTACCTTTGGTTAAGTCTTTAATAGTTTGCAGTGCTTTACAAATACAACACATCCATGAACTATATTTTTCTACATTTTTTTTTCTCCTTACAGTTTTTCGTCTGCTTGGGGTGTTTTTTGTTTTGTTTTGTTGTTGTTGTTTTTGTGGCCTAACAGCAATGTCCTACTTCAGTTGAGAAGCAGTTACATCACCCCTTATCATTAATGAAAGGCAGATCTCTGTGAGTTTGAGGCCAGACTGGTCTACAAAGCGAGTTCATGGCAGCCAAGGCTATACAGAGGAAAAGCAAAACAACTCCCCTGAATTCTTCCCTCAACCCCTTCTCAAAGTAATCCCAAATGTGGCTCAGAGATTGCCATCCTGTTAGCAGTAATCAATAAACCTTTTAATTATAATTGGGTTGAGTCTATGGTCTTTTCCCAGGGGTCACAAACTCCATAACAGTTTTGGGAGCCAACCCACATCATTCTGATGAATTCCTTTGGTTTGAGTGAAAGCTGGCTTCTCTTTTGAGTCTCTAATTGATTCAAAAATAGCATGTTCTTAGAGTTCATAGTTCCTCTAAAGAGACAGACATGGAAGAAATAACTATAATATGGTTAGGAATACTACAATCCAATGTAAATGTGAACCACAATAGTAGACTAGAACTCCATCACAAGTATCTTGGGAAGTATAGGAAAAGCAAGGAAATGAATATCGGATGGAGTAAACATGTATGAAATGCCCAGGTAGTATTTATTTAAAAAACGATACAAAATTAGGAATCCACCCACAAGGAACTTAGCATGATGGATACACAAGACTCCAGGGGGACCCGGCAAACAGAGAGCCTGTGGTTATTAGTGGGAGGTCAGTCATTTCATGTCAGAGTTTCGTTTTGTGAAGAAGGAAACCCTGGCAGGTATGTACATAATGCTTCAGGAAGGTTGCTCTTTTGGACATGTGTAAAAGGAATGGATAGGGCAAAGATCACAGGCTCATCCAGAGGGTAGACTGCGGCCAGGCATGCCGCACATGCCTGTAATCCCAGAACCTGGGAGCCAGCAACAGTTTGAAGCCAGATCTGTCTTTACAGCAAGTTTCAAGACAACTAGCATTACACAGAGAGGCTCTGTCAGAAACAAACATACACACAAATGTTGTAAGTCTTAGAATTAAACAGACTGAGTTAAAATGCTGGCTACGTACTCCGTGTGTGACCGCAAATAATCTCTCTGTGGCTTCATCATTCACAAAACGAGTATCTGCCTCCGAGTGGGCTGTGGTGTGAACTGAGTGAAAGATCTTTGGAAAACCACAGCAGAGTATTTGCATGCAGCGAGTGTCCAATGATGTCATCTGTTAATGTTACGGTGATAGTAGAGTTTGACCAATGGGACTTCCACAACAGGTCAAGTGAGAACTGAAAGAAACATAAACCCAGATAATAGACGAGGGGATGCAAGCTGGGTGTGGTGGCACATACTTGTAATCCTAGCTCTTGGGAAGTGGAGACAGGAGAATTGCTGTGAGCTCAAGCTAGAGTGAGACTTTGTGTTAAAAAAAAAAAAAACGGAGTGAAGACAGTCATTCTTTAAGTGTTGAAAAGTGCAGGGTGCCATATGCTCTATCCCCACAAGAACGATTTTGAGTGTTAAATATATATTATATATTAACAATGATACTAGAACAGGCATACATTGGGAAGTATGGTCACTCTTCATCATTAATCTCCCATGGGTCAGCTTCTAGATGTCCTTCACCAGCTTGCTTGATAGCAACTATGTCTGCTCTAGCTTACTTCCTATTGCTGTGATAAATGCCATGACCAAAAGCAATTCAGGAAGAACACAGTTCATCTCAGTGTACACTTTATAGTCTACCTGCCAACAGGCAGGGAATGAAGCAGAGACTATGGGGAAATGCTCCTTTCCGGCTTACTCCCTAGGGCTTACTCAGCCTGCTTTCTTATACAACCTGCTAAAGGGTGGCACTACCCACAGTAGGCTAGGCCCTCCCGAATCAATCATTAATCAATGGCCCCACAGGGGGAAAAAAAAACCCAAACCCTAGGCCTATCTGATGGAGACATTGTCTCAGCTTGTGTCAAGTTGACAAGAAACTAACTAGCACAATGTCCAAAGGAAATTTGGTTTGCTCGTGTCTTCCGTGGAGAGAGGAAGAAAGCCCCAGACTTTAGATATCGGCTCAGTATCTTGGATAACACAATCTTGCCAAGATTTACTCCTCAGATTAACCAAGTCTTCCTGGGAAGGGAGCGATCTTGTTCTTCCTCCTGGTATCACACACAATGTGACAAACAAGCAGGTAGGCCCTCCAACTTTTATTTAGGGGCTAAGAGGCATAAATGTCACGTCAACACTCATGGCCTTCCTTTGTCTTCAAAACAGAGTTCAGTAGCTGCCCCAAGCTGTCTCCAAGTACAGGAAACATGTCTTTTTCTCTTGTTCTCTCTGATGCACTCAACATCACACACAAAACAGGGTACCAAACAGAGGCATCATAAACACTTGATTTTTGTTGTTGTTGTTGTTGCTGTTGGCTTAGCAGCTGCACATAAATCCACTGATATTTTAATTACTGTCTGTATCCCATGGCCCTGAATTCAGCACCTGGCCTGGCCCAGCTCTGCCACAGCCACCATAGGTTTAAACATCATCATTGTTCTATTTACCAACAAAGACTTGGAAGTTAGATGTTGGGGTGGAAAGCTGCTAGATCACAGAAGCCAAGAAGCAACCAGCTGACTTTGCTTTTTTGATCAGAGATGATGCAAGTGGCGAGTCTCTTCCCTTGTCCCAGAACCAAAGGAAGCTCAAATTTCAGCCCCTGCCCTTTCCTTCCTGTGTTTCTTCTCTATCCAGATCCCTTGCTTCTCTATGGCTAACTCCATTCAGCTAGTCACTGGCTCTGCCCTCTGATTCAAGGCAAACTTTATTGATGTCTGGAATGTCACAGTGTGATCAAAATATCTCATGAAACGTACCGGAAATTATGGTGGTATATTCCAGGTAAATTGTCCTAATTGTCCAGGAAGTGGGAGCGGCTTTGATTATCCCCTACACAACTAAGGATGTTTGCTCAGAAACCTTCAAGATACAAGGTCTCCCGGCTTGCTTTCACTAGGCCCCAGGAGGGAACAGTCAAGGCCTTCAGAACTCCTTTGATAGGGAGTCACCAGCACTCTTACCAGCAGCCACGTTTCCATAGTAACCCACTTGTTCATGGTCAAGGGCGTGCTGTTGGGCTTTTACCCCAACACAGGGAGTTGAGAGATGAACCCCATCAAATTCTTACTTGAAATGCACGAGGCTATCTCCTAGCTGGTTGTCATCATGCTCAGGATTTCTGTATACCAAAGCCCTGTCTCTGCTTCCCACCATCTCTTTGATTAAGGAAGCTAGAGCTCTTTGCACTGGATGTCTCGGCTTGGCTTAGTTAGACGCTTGGGCTTCCAGCTGGGCAGGCGATCTCTTCCTTCACTCTAGTGGTGGTTTCCAGCCAGCCTTTAGCCGGCTGTCCAGATGCCCTCTCCCCGCCACCCCCCACCCCAAAACACAACCTGCAACAACAGGCACTCCTTTGGAGGTTTATTCGTGGAAGTAGAGGAGCATCTCGGCATAAGTACCATCTCTTCTCTCCCATGGTTACTTGGCCCACCGTGGGAAGCAGCATTAAACGAGGCAGAGCAAACCAACAGGTGACAGGGCTGGCACCCATCCTGGCTCGGCGTTAGGGTCCCAGAAAGTTCTCTCCTAGGGAGCTGGCTACGGGAACCTGGAGGAAGTTCTCATTTGGGTCCTCTTGTTCCCAGAGGCTGTGGGTCAGAGTAGCTCTCATGGGCATGTTAACTGTCGATACCACCAGTGGGGGTGTCTTGCAGCTGTTGGAGTTGTCTATTTCTGGGGTAGTATCAGGGTGTCTGTGAGAGTCCAAAGGTTCCCAGGTCATACATAGAAAGCAACAGAAGAGAAAGAAAACACAGTTAGACTCCACTTAAAGGCCCCAACAAGCGGCCCGGCACTTAAGAATACTTGCTACTCTTCCGGAGGACCCAAGCCTGGTTTTAGTCCCTATGTGGCATCTTACAATTGTCTATGACTCCAGCTCTAGGGGAGCTGATGCCCTCTCCTGGGCCCCACAAGCACTACAGGCAAAACATCCATACACATTAAAGGAAGGAAGGAAGGAAGGAAGGAAGGAAGGAAGGAAGGAAGAAAGGAAGAAAAAAAGAAACTCGGGCTGGAGAGATGGCTCAGAGGTTAAGAGCACTGACTGTTCTTCCATACCAGGAACCACATGGTGGCTCACAACCACCTACAATGAGATCTGGTGCCCTCTTCTGGGCTGCAGGCATGCATGCAGGCAGAACATTATATATGCATACATATACATACATACATATACATAATCTTTAAAAAGATCTACTTAAACAAACTATTTTTAAACATTGGAGAGAGATTCACTAGTTAAAAACACATACTTCTCTGCCAGAGGCCAGCCCAAGCTGGTCTTTGTCTCAGAAAAAAAAGAAAACAAACAAAAACAAACCACAAAGGGCCTGATGGTGCATGGCTTTAATCCCAGCACTGAAGAGGCAGAGGCAAGCAGATCTTTGTGAGTTCAAGGCTAACCTGGTCTACAAAGTGAGTCCTAACCCAGCCAACACTGTCTCAAAACCAACAAACAAAAATCTAAAACCATACAGGAATCAGTTAATCCTTGGAAAGTGGAGGTGGGAGGTATCAGTAGTTCAAGGTCACCTCCTGTCTTTAAAAAGACAAAAACAAAAACTACAAAATAACCCAAGAAAGCTCCTAAGAGGAAAAAAATCAACTAAAACCATTAGGAAATGGAAAGAGAAGATGATAACCCCACCTCCCACTAGGAAAAAGAATGAAATATTTTTATTATCCTATGTGTATGGGTATTTTGTTTTCATTTATGTCCGTTCCCCACTTGTGTGGCTGGTGAAGGTGGAGACCAGGAGAGTGCATTGGATCCCTTGAAACTAGAGTTACAGACAGATGTGAACTTCCACATAGGTGCTGGGAATTGAGTCTGAATCCTCCGGAAAAGCAGTAAGGCTCTTAAAGGGTGAGGCGTCCCTCCATCTTCAAAGAAAGGAATTGTTTTGGAGGTTGAGGCAGGGGGATTATAACAAGCTCAAGTCTATTCAGAGTTCTAGAGTGAAACCCTTAGTCAAACAAAATGAAGCAGAGGCATGACTGGTTCAGTGGACAGTCTTTGGCTGGCACACATGAAATCCTAGGTTCCAACACTAGCATTTGAGAGGTGGAGGCAGGAGGGTCAGGAGTTTGAGGTCCTCCTTAGCATACAGTGAGTTTGAGGTCACCCAGGATGACAGAAGCTCATGGAGGAGAGAAGAGGAAGAGGAGAGGGAATAGGTTGAGGGTCTCAAGAAGGTATGTACGATCAGGCACCGGGCATTTTAACTTCAAAAGTGAGGATGTATTTTGCAATCTGAAAGGACCAACCAGCTTTTTTATTCTAAAAGGACACCATGTTCTATAGGGACTGTCCAGAGAGGCAGCTTTTAAATCGAGACAACAACAACAACAAAAACTCCTCCTGCTGGAAAAAAAATCACAAAGAAATTAAGAAAACAAGTTATGTTGATGGCAGCATATGCCTTATACTTGCCTTGCACATGGCGGTTCACTCTGTGGCTGCTTGTAGGGGAATTGGTTGAAACTTGGAGTTAGGAGTTGTCTTTGGTCACTGTTCATTTTACACAAGAAGACAAAGCAGAGGCTCATCCAAGAGGCTTTTTGTGAGCTGGCATTATTGAGTCAGTACCTAACTGACTTTTTTGTTGTTGTTTGGTTGTCTTTTTTTGAGACAGGGTTTCTCTGATGTAGCTTTAGAGCCTGTCCTGACATTGGCTCTGTAGACCAGGCTGACCTGGAACTCACAGAGATCGGCTTGCCTGCCTCCTGGGTGCTGGGATTAAAGGTGTGCGCCACCACCAGCTGGCTGCTGGTTTATTTACTAACTCACATTTCTTGGAGTTCATTTGCCCATTTTTAATTATTTTTATTGTGTTTCTGCCATTTGAAAACAGTGGAGTTACCTATGGAATGAACATTCAGATATCTGAATGCCACAGAACCTGTTTTCAAGGATAAGTTAAGTTCAGGGACAAAGTCTTGTGGCTGGCTATCTAGAATAAAAAGGACTAGAACTGGCTGGATAGAGGGTGGCATAGCCCCATGAAACCAGGCTGGGGCAAGGGATACTGGTGCTGACGACATAGGACTCACCCATCTCCCATGAGCTGGTGTCTTTTTGAGAGTCCTAAGAGACTGCCGCTGGTCCGCTCAGCTGCCAGCAGCATTATGGTCTCGCTGGCCTGGGAGGATGACGGCAGGCTGCTTTCAGGCTGTGTGAGGAAATGCAGGTCAGAGGGTTCTGTCGCTAACTGAGCAATCTGTGGGACTGACCTGTGTTTCACAGAACAGGCCTAAGGACATTAAGTCAAGATATCGCTGGGCCGGTAATGGGGTCCTCTAGCAACAGCACCCTTCTATAAGTGGACCCTAGAGCAGCTGGTCTCTAAAAGCAGTGATTACCAAAACACCAAAACACACACCTTCATGAAAACAGGAAAAGACGGCAGCTTTCACATTTGGAGCAATCTACTGCCAAGCTTTCTGCCCGTGATTCTACACTGAGCAAGTCTGGGAAGACCTCATGCCCCAAGCGAGCTCGGCACAGTGGTATATGCTTGGAAGCCCAGTGTTCGGGAAGCTAAGACAGGAGGCAATCGAATTCCCGTCTAGCCTAAGCTACAGAGGGAGGACCTGTGTCAACAATAGCACACACACACTAAATAAGTAAATAATAAGTAAATACAAAAAGACGACAGCTTGCAGGGCTTTGGTAGAGCATGCCTTTACTCCCAGCACTCAGGAGGCAGAGGCATGAGGATCTCTGTGAGTTCGAGGCCAGCCTGGTTTACAGAGTGAGTTCCAGGACAGGCGCCAAAGCAATACAGAGAAACCTTGAAAAACCAAAACAGAAAAAAAAGACAATAGCTCAGTGATAGAGCAAATAGAACACTTGTCTAGCACTGAGCATGCTGGAGGCCCTGCTTCTACCCACAAGAGGGGAAGTTGTGGGAGTCGAGGCAGGAAGATGTTGAGTTTGAGGCCAGCCTGGGCTAAATAGTGGATTGCATCTTTACAAAGGTACAAAAAGGATAAGTCTATAAATACACAGGTAACTATGTTCAAATTTACCAAAAATTAGAAACATCCTTTACCTCTCATATTAAGAGTCATTCAAATGTATTCCACTGTGGTAATGCAATGACTTCTTAATGAGGGGAAGTGCCCATGATAGAATATAATTTTTTTAAATATCAACATTGTTTTCAGTAACATACAGTGTTGTCCCTAAGACCCATGGGGATTGGTTCCGGAATCTACCATCCAATATCAAAATCCACCGTACTCAAGTCCCTTATTCAAAAGGCATAGCTTTTGCACATGCCTCACAAACCACAACACTAGGCAAATAGCTGCTCCACTGTATTGGTTAGGGAACAACGTTTCCTGACTATTTCTGATCCAAGGTGTTGCGTGAATTCATGGACGCGGGACCTGCATGTATGAAAGGCCAAGTGTCCCCTTGCATATGTGAACATTCTATGTGTGTGAGCATGTACAGGAAAACATGCACGCATCTCTGTTTATTTCCCTGCAGATGTTGGGAGTGAGGGGCATCCCTACTTACTGTTATTTCAGTGGAGGAGTTGGGTATCTTGGGCACCAGGCAGTGAGTGAACTGGATCCTCGGGTCTTTGGTGGTGATTGACAGACCCTTCTGCAAAATTTTCACCAGGCGGATCCAGAACTGAAACACAGCCTGTGGATGTTTCTCGTGGAGCCTCAGGTAGTAGATCTTCTCAGTCACTGTCCTAACCCGAAGGATGCGTTGGGTCCGGTCATAGATTTGTAGTTCTACATACTTCAGGGGCAGGATCCTAGGCACAATCAGGAAGTCTGTGTGTTGGTGCCTCCTGCTCTGCCTAGAGGGTGCTGGCAGGAGGTCTCCTGCTCTGAGGGTGGGAACTGATTCCCCTCTGATTATTTGCAGGATCTTTGTTCCTTAGTAAAGACTTGCATGGCCATGTGCACTTAAATCCCAACACTTGGGAACTGATGGCCTGAGCTACGCAACTTTGCCTCAAAAAATATTAAATAAAAAATAGTTTGCCCACATCAATCACTGCTATTGCTATTGTGCATATCTCAATTCTCATATGCCCTTTGACGAGGGAAAGATAAATTTTATAAATTATGCATTTCAGACTTTGAGACAGAGGCTTGGGGAAGTTTGGTGAGTGGGTGGGGAGGTGACTCAGTAGACAAAAGCACTTGTTGTGCAAGCATGAGGACCTGAGTTTGAAGAATCCCCAGCATTCATGTTTAGAAAGAAAAAAGGCAGGCATCGTCACACGTGCCTATAACTGCAGGGCCAGATGCTGAAGCAGGTAGATCCTGGGAGCTCAGTGCCAGCCAGCCTAGCCAAGCCAGTGAATTACAGCTGCATGGGATATGGTATATAATATGACAGAATGGGACACCCAACATGTCCTCTGTTCTTGCACTCTGACACGAATACACACATGCTTGCACCTATCCAACATCTCTCTCTCTCTCTCACACACACACACACACACAGTAAGAAGGGCACAGTGATGATCTTAGCACTTGGGAGGCTAGGGCAGGAGGATAAGGCATTTAAAGTCATCCTCAGCCACCCAGTGAGAGGCAAGCATAAAATGCAGAGGAACATGTTTTCAAAAACAAAACCCAAATTGAAAAAAAGCTTAAGGTTTGCTCAAGTTGAAATCTTTGTAAGTAGGGATTGGAGCAAAGATTTGTTAACTCATTTCTAAGCCTTCCCTGGGTCTATGAGGGACAAAGGTGGAAGTCTTGTATGTATCGAGGCCTTGCGGTTTTCTGTTCTTTTGACCCTCCATCTCCATCTCCCAAGTTCTGGGATGAAAGGTTTGTGCCATCGTGCTCAGTTCATGCAGTGCTGGGGACCAAACCAAGGGCTGTGTGTGTGCTAGGCATGTATGATACCGACTGAGATGCATCAGCAATCTTTCCTTTTTCTTTTTTAAAAAGTGTGTGTGTGTGACTGCCCCATACATGTAGGTATCTTTGGAAGCTAGAAGTTACAGGTGGTTGTAAGCTACCTGACATAGGTAGCTGCTGGGAACTGAACTCAGGACTTCTGGGAGAGCAAGTCCCTTACCCACTGAGTCTCCCAATGCCCCCCCACTCTTTTTTGAGATAGGCTCACCATGCTGGGATTTGAAATATCTCTTTTCAATCTCAATACCCCATAGCCTTATTTGATTTTAATATCTCCATCTTTGGGCTGGAGAGATGGCTCCAAGGGTAGAGGTTGTTGTGGTTAATGCTAATGAGATAAGATCAATCCACAGAACCCACATAGTAGAAGGAGAGAAGCAACTCCTAAAACACACACACACACACACACACACACACACACACACACACACACACACGGAAAGAGAGGAAAGAAAAAAAAAGGAAAAAAACAGCGAACATTAGCTGTCTTTAAAAGGAAAATCTTCTCTTTAAAAATCCTCCACACCTACACTGACAAAATACAAGGAAGCCAAGACTGGCATTCTGTGAATTCTAGGACAACCCGGTCTATAGAATGGCTCGAGGCAAGCCAGGGTTACACAGGGAGACCGTTGCACAGTCGGCAGACCCTGAGGTGGAGACAGGAGCTGTGCTGCACCCTGCTCTGAAACCCTTGTTGCCAAAAGACGCTAAGTAAACATGCATCACGTCAACATGTGGACGAACTCCACAACGCTTACAAAGAGCATTGCCCTTTCTTCCAATCTAAAGCCCACCGCACTGTATACATATATCTGTCAATCACCCAGCCCCGCCCCCCAGCCGTTACCTGCTGAGAGTGATGACTGGGGTACCAGGTGTGCTGCAGGAGGAAAATGAACCATGAGGCCAGGTGACATTGGCCATCAGGAGGACATTGGGGAGCGGCAAGGAGGGCACTGAAGAGGTCACCCCAATGATCATAGTGGCGGATCTTTCATAGACATCCATCCAGTTTCCTTGCTTATTGACCTGGAAGCCAACCCCAGACACATGGGTCAGAGAGAGACAGCAGATGGGTGGAAGGACGCAGACAGGGCCACTTGGGCTCGGGGAGCTAGACCAGTTCCCGCTCCAAGGATCCACACCCAGGCCGCTCTCTGTGACCCGACCTGAAGCAAGACAGAGCAAGCCTGTCCCCGACCCCAGACCAAACAGGCGTGGCCAGTGGCACAGGTGCCACTGGGTGGGTCTCTCACTATAATTTCCTGCTACTGGCCCCTTTCCTTGGTCTCCCCAGACATAGTCTGGGGACAACAACAGCCCTGTGCAGTTCTGCATTGCATAGAGAAACACACCTAATTTTGAAAAGAGACACCAGTCGCTTGGGCAGGAGTTAGAACTGACAGGAGAATGAGGACTTCAAGGCTGGGCCTTTCCACTCTACTCTCTTCCTCTTGTAGAACTATCTTCCCTTCCAGGCCATGAGAAAGCTGTGCAGGTCTCTCTGACCCAGGGAGGGAAGTATACAATTCCCAGCGCCACTCAGTTTCTGTTCTTACAAGTCTCTTTCTCATTTTGGTTTGTTGTTTTGAGACAGAGTCTCATGTAGCAGGCTGCCTTCTCACTCCTTATGAAACCAAGAGTGGCCTTGAAGTCCTCATTCTCCTGTCAGAACAAAATCAATGCAGAACAAAATGATGGGACAAATCCACTGCCAAGATAACACACATAAAGACGGATGACTAGAAATTGAAATGGTCTGGATCCCACATTACTGCTCCCCCCACAGGCTTGCTAGCTCATCCCCCAGGAACACAGGTATCCACCTGGAGCAGCACAGGACAGGAAAATGGAGTATCAGGAACCATGAATATAGTTTTCCCAAACTGGAGCATGGAGGGAAGTAGCTCACTGCAGTGAGAGCCTCAATTTTAATCCCTAGACCCACCATCTCCCCTACAGCTCCTGCCCGCTCTTTCTCGCTTCCTGTTTTGGTGGGGTTCCGACATCAGATCCTTGATTCTGACCAGTTTACCTGGGTACTTTCAAGTCCCTCTGCCTGCCCTTTCTCTTACCTAAACCCCAGCAATACCCACAAAGAGTGGATGAGGATCCCCTGCTGTCTGGCACACCGTTCTCAACTGCCAAAGTCCAGGAGCATGCCCTGGGCGTCTGTAATCATGCCCTGCTGGTCTAAATGGTCTTGGATAAAGCTTGCTTAGACAGTTACCATTGATTACGGTTGGATGGATCTCCTTGTACACCATGAGGCTCCTTTCAGGGCTAACAAGATAACTCGGCCATTAAGAGAGTTTACTGCTCTTACACAGGACCTGGAGCTCAGTTCCCAGAACCCAATCAGGCAGTTGACAATCATCTGAGCTCCAGGGGATCTGCTGCCACCTTCTGACCTCCCAGGGCACTGCACTCAAGTGCACAGATACACATAATTAAAATTTAAATAAATAAATCTGCACCCCCCCCAAAAAAAACCCCACAATGTTTATAAAAATGCTTAAATTGGGCGTGGTGATGCACACCTTTAATCCCAGCACCCTGGAGGTAGAGGCTGGAGGGTCTCTAAGAGTTTGAGGCCATTGTGATCTTCATAGCTCTGGGCCAGCCAAGGCTACACAGTGAGACCCTGTGTCAAAACAAATGAACAACAACAACAAAAACCAAACCAAAATAAATAAATAATAACCTCCTTTCTTGTGCCATAGCTACTCTTTGATGTGGTCTGCAGGGAACTCCCTCACACTACAGGTCACAAAGGGAAGTGACCTTGGAACCTAGGCCCTCTGGTTTCCTCTGGCTTTGGTGCCCCCCCCCCCCCACCGTCAGGACTTTTAGCATCCATCTTCTAACCAACCAGTGGGAGCAGGCTGTGGAAAGGGGACCACTCTCATCCCTGAGATGCAGGCGGTACCTGGATAAAGGTGCTCTCAAACACCACTGAGTCAGAGAACAAGTTGAATTCTGGAGAATGAATTAGTTGACAAAGAAGGCCATCTTCTACTCCAAGTTCCACTCCAGGGCCCTGGTCCCTGACCGCAGGAGGGAGGCCCCTAATTTTACTCATTGGTTCTTAAAAAGAATGGGCTGGGGAACATCTCTGGGGCTCCACACAGACCCAGCCCAACTCCAAGGTGTTGGTGGGACCGCTGCTCCCCCTACTGGATCCCCCCAGATCCAGTTCCCCACTTGCTTATGGTTGACCATGTCCACCAGAGCAAGGAGGGCCTGTCAGCTCACAATGGCAGAATGACATCAGGGAATGCAATGGCTAACAACAGGAAAGGGAGGAGAGGACCGGAAGAGGATGTATGGGACTCTGTGTTGACGGCAAACCAGAAGTGAAATCCCAGATTCTCCCAAGCAGAGAATGACCTTCCCAAGAGTCTGCCAAGACAGTGAGCTGGCCAGGCAAAACTGGGAAAATCAGAGGCTCTGATCGTCTCTCGTCCCTGGAAGCCACACACAAAAGCTCTTTGTAAATTCAAATTGTTTACCTAAAGTCAGGCGTTGGGGACCTGCCGGTTGGCTCAGCAGGTAAAAGGGTTTTTGCCAAACCTGAGGGTCAGCATTTGATCTCTGAGATCCACACAGCAGAAGGAAAGAGCTGGCTGCATCAAGTTGTCCTCCGACCTGTGCATGCAATTTCATATACGTGTTTTCTCTCTCTCTCTCTCCTCTTTCTCTCTCCATCTCTCTTACACACACATACACTCACACACACACACACACACTAAAAACAACTAAATGTGATAAAAATAAAATCAGTCCCTGACCCGACAGGGAGAATGGAAGGGTAGGAGAAAGGGAATTAATTTTCTCTGCCTCATCTTATGGGGGAAAGGAGTTTTAAAATAATAAAAACAATAACCAGGTTGTTATTTATAGTGGGCCACCAAAAGAGCTAGGTGGAAAATGTGCCCCTGTGGTGTGAGATACTCGGGAGGCTGAGGCAGGAGGATTGCTTGCATCCAGGAGTTTGAGACCAGCTTAAATCGTATTTAGAAAAGCTTAATGAAAAAGTACGGACCATTTCATGAATCTGTCAGGGACCATCTGGCCTTTTTTTCCCAACCGTGATGCTGAAGTGAAAAACTCTAGAAAAAAAAAATGGGGGGGGGGGGGAACTTCAAAGTATTTATAAACACTTTTTCTTTTTATCATATTATTGAGACAGGGTCTTACTATGTAGCCCTGGCTGTCCTGGAATTGAGCATGCTGGGACTAAAGGCATGCACCACCACCACCCAGCTCTCTGTGTGTGTGTGTGTGTGTTCTTAAGTGGGGCATCCATGGAGCTCAGAGGACAGCCCTCAGTGTTGGTCCTTGCCCTTTCATCTTGAGACCAGGTCTCTCTGCACTGTGTACCCCAGGTTAGGAAGGACAGCAAGTTTCTTTCAGTTCTTCTGGGTCTCGGGGTCACAGAAGCACCTACTACTGCTGTGGGTTTTTATGTGTGTTCTGAGATCAGAATTTAGGTTGTCATACTTGCCAGGCTGAGCCACTCCCCAGCCCCTGGATCTTATCTGAACTGTCTATTCACAGGCTAGCCTTACGCTATTCTAAATGTTGGAGTTTTACACAACTGATCAGATTAATTTGAAAATAAATTTGTTCTTTCTTCCTTCTCCCCCACCCCTCCCTTCCTCTCTTTCTATTGTGTATGGTGCAATATCCCCTTCCTCCTCAGCTGCCACTAGATGGCAATAGAGTTCAGGCCTCCAGTTAACATTTAAAACTTGGGAGTTAAGAGTTTCCTTTTTTGTTGTTGTTTTTCGAGGCAGAGTTTCTCTGTGGCTTTGGAGGCTGTCCTGGAACTAGCTCTTGTAGACCAGGCCGGTCTCAAACTCACAGAGATCCCTTTGCTTCTGCCTCCCTAGTGCTGGGACTGAAGGCGCGCACCACCACCACCTGGCTGAGTTGGAGTTCCCTAAAGGTGCTGTGCCTTGGCTCACCACTGACACATTTTTTCCAAACTCAGCAGGTCCCCAAATCTCTTCATTTTAGCTGGTCCCCGTGCACACTGGTGACCCTACTACTCAAGAGGCAGAGGCAAGGGGATCACAAATTTATGGCCTACGTTAGCTACACAGACAAGGCTGCATTGTGCAATGGTCCTCTGACAGCCACACAAGGCATGTGCATGCCACACCCCACACATGAACACACACAGATACACTTATCACACACATGAAACTACAGGGAAAAAAATCAGAACGGCACCTCCTAATAGCTTCTATGTCTCTGTCCTATATACATAATTCTGTCACTGACTTATGAATTTTTCTTTCCTCTCTAATATCTTATGCGATTGGAGGAGGTCAGTGAGGATGGGGTCAGAATTCTGCAGGTGCACAGATCCGCCTAGGCTGCCACATTGCAGTAGCGATGCTGCCTCTATCACTTTGCACAATAAAGGTTGATTTTGCTTTCTCTAGGGGTCAGTTGAGACTTCTCCGTGGCATCTTCACTCCAGGGCCTACAACAACAGGGAAGTTCCACACAGATCAATTCTAGTCCCCGAAGCATGGGGCGGGGAGGGGGGTGGAGGGAGAACATCCAGGCAGAGATTCTACTAAGGGAATCAGGCCTTAAATGTTTCAATGTAGAACAGGTGTGTTACTTCTACTCAGAACTAATTGAGCAGAATAAGTTACGTGGCCTCATTGAACCACAAGGGGTCAGCAGTGAGCTTCTAGCCAGGAGTGGTAGCATTCACCTGCAATCCCAGTGCAAGAGGCTGAGGCCAGATTGCTGGCCATTCTGGACCACACGGTGAGACGCTGTCTCAAAACAAACAAAGTAACGCAGGAATATTTGGAGAATACAATGACTAGCAGTGGCTTTCCTGGTAGATAATTACTCAACTCACATCTCTTCTTCAGGTAGAACAGAATTATTTTATCTTCCCTCAAAGGAAAAAAAAAAATTCCATCACCCACCATATCAAGTTCAAACTTAAGGAACTCTGGGCGAGGTACAAGTTTCTCTAGCATTGTGGCGGATCTGTCTGTCTGTCTGTCTATCTGCTATGCTTCCACACATCTAACACATGGTAACAGGAGGCCAGGTTAACAGCAGCCTGCAGATAAGGAGGAATGGGGTGGAGCAGCGCAGCCTGATGATTGTGTGAAGTGAAGTCGCGATTTAAATTAGTCCACCAAGACAAATGATAAATAGGTATTTGTTAGGGAAGCACTTATACAAATAACAGTGAATAATCACCACAGTCTCCCTGCTCCAGAAGACCCAGTCTCTGCCCTTTAGAGGCTCTCATAGCAAGCCAAAGGAGCAAGCTAGTCCCTCTTCTACCTTATAAGGGGTTAACTATGCACACGTGAAGCCATGCCCATAGTATATGGCCACCATGGAAAGTTCATTGGCTAAGCCAGATGCCCCTGGAAGAAAGGTGTGCACTGTTTAGGCAACTGTTTCCTTTTGAGAACTCAGGTCTTCCTACAATATAACCTAATAAGAAAAAAAAATGTAATTATCTGGGCACCATAGTACTTACCTGTAATCCCACCAGTTAGAATAAAGCAGGGGGGTCAATACAGACTATATAGCAAAACCCTGTCTCTAAATTAATGTGCATGTGTGCACACAAACAAAGCCAAAAAACACTGGCATGTGTGACATTAGCTTACATGGAGAGCAGCTGTGTGCCGCCATGCTTGGCTTCTAGTTATATTTTTTACTTGTACATACTTATTTACGGGAGGGGGGCACATTTGTGACCGTCAAAGAACAAATTACAGGAGTTAGTTCTTACCTTCCATCATGTGGGGGTCCTCCTGGGGTTCGAATTCAAGTCATCAATCAGGCTAGGCAGCAAGGCCTTTTACTCACTGAGCTATCTTTCCAGACCACCAATTCCATTTTTTAAATTTCTTTTTTGTATGTGTGGAGGGTGGGAGGGTTGCCAGCATGCACAGTACACGTGTAAACTTCAGAGAACAACCTGTGGGAGTCAGTTCCCTCTCTCTACTCTGTAGGCTTCAGAGACCAAAGTCAGGTCATCTAACCTTACCTGCTAAGGCACCACACCAGTCCTCCAAACACAGACAGGATTATACTAATGAAATCAACTCTGGAATCTCAATGCCTAGTTTATCTTGTGCACAGAAGCAGATATGACAACTTATTTTAAGCCCCAACAACTGAATCACAAGTTTGAGGCCAGCCTGGGCTACCCAGTAAGACCCAATAAATCACTTCTTAGCCCCGTGGCTAAGAAAAATTCACCACATACTCTGGAATGGGGAGTTTGGCAACACACTGACTACCACACAGCAACAGACAAAACCAATCCCTAAGCCCGGTTTATCACTTAGTTGCATGAAGGGCACCCAGGAAGTAGGGCTGGTTGAACAGGTTCCTGTGTTCCATTCCTTTCTTTTGGCAAAAGTAAATCAAATTCATAAAGTAATGTACACAGAGATGGGAGAAGTAGATTCGTAGCTTGAGGCCAAGTGAGCACTTTCATACGCAGGGCAGGGAATGGAGTGGAGGGATGGGGAAGGAAGCCTCTTTGTCTGTCATAACGGCACTCATCTTTAATGCTAGCACTAGAGTCGGGTCACCTGTCCAGCTCTCCCAATGCATACTGCAGTGTGTAGACCTTCAGCAGCTGGCACACATTGACAACAAACAGCCACACGGGTAGATAAGACAATGAAGAGAACAGAATAGTCAAGGCCCGAGGAAATGCTTGTCCTCTTTTAGACTCAAGGGAGGGCTGGGAGCAGGCATTTTTCTTAGAGATGGATCAGTCCCAAGAAGACCAAATGGTCATGGGGGATTAATGTAACAACTATGTCAAGTCTCTGAGGTAAAATTGCATACTATCTAGAAAGGACCCAAGGATATCCTAACATATACTTACTCTGAATTACTTATCATACCTAATATATAAATACTATAGTTGTTCTATCGTATTGTTTAGAGAGAAATGACAAGAAAAAAATGTCTTATCATGGACAAAAATAGTTCATCATGGGCATAATTAAAATAAAAATATCTTCAGGCCAGCCACCTTTAATCCCAGCACACAGGAGGCAGAGGCAGGCCAATCTGTGAATTCAAGTCCAGCCTGGTCTACAGAGCTAATTCTAAGACAGCCAGGCTTTTTGACAGAGAACCCCAGTCTTGAAGGG